GTGCCAAAAAATATGTAGTCCAGACACAGAAAAATGACAGGCCATTAGGAAGAGGGGGATCAATGTCAAAAGGAAATATGAGTAGATTTTACAGATAAGTGAGATCAAACCCAATCGAAAACCTGACAGTTCATTTGAATAAAATGTCATTACCGCCTTGAAATATTTGCAGATATAGAAGACATAAAATTTAAAATGTGCATTCAAGCTTGATTAAATATGAGACCATTAGGAGAGATTTGTTATCCATATCAAGAAAATCACTTGAGTCATGGGACTATACCTCCTAAATAGGGCTTTGACAGTGACAGATCTATATAGTTCTGAAAATAGGACCCTGTTTTTAAAGAGGCATATGATTATGGGTAAGAGTTTATCCCAATTAAATACCATGTTAGAGGCCTTCCTGGAGCTGTGGTAGCAAATTATCAGAAACTTGGTGGCTTAAAATGACATAGACCTATTCTCTCGTAGTTCTAGGGGCCAGAAGTCTAAAACCAAGGTGTCTGCAGGGCCACACTCATTCCAAAGGCTCTAGATAAAAATCCTTCCTTGCCTCTTCCAGCTCCTAGTGGTTGCTGGCACTCCTTGGTGTCCTTGGCTTGCAGCTGTATAACTCCAGTCTTAAAAATATTTACAAAAGTAGGGTTAGGGTTATGGTAACTATATAAATAAAAATTTTAAATTTGGGTTTTAATTTTAATATCATAAATGTCAATACAAAAAACACAAAAAAACAAATGCTCTTTGAGATTCTCTTCTTTTTTTTAAGAGTTAAAATAATCCTGAGACCAAAATCTGAGAACTAACAAGTTAAAAGAATTTGATTTATATATATTTTCATGTCTGATTTATTAAAGACATAGAAGTTCCCTAAGAACCTCAGAAAATCTTCCTTGTTAGATTTGTAATTCTGTCTTTTGAAGTATTTGAGAGAACCATATTGTTCCTGTGTAATTGAAATATCATAAGACATGTCTGAAGTATATAAGCAGTGTTATCTAAGGTAAATCGATTTGCATTTACAAATTAATTAAATATTCATTAAAGAATCAGTGATAACTTCATATTTTTGTATAGAATTTACTAGCTTGATTTTATAAATGTAATAGTAAGATTTTTTGCAAATGAGATTGCTTTCTTGATTTCTCTTCTTGCTGGTTCATTGTTGGTGTATAGAAACTTATTAATTTTTGTATGTTGATTTTGTATCTGGAAGCTTTACTGAATTTATCAGTTCTAAGAGTTTAAATAATTTAAATAATAAAGGGTATATTTTTTAAAGTTTAAATTAAACTTTTAATAAGTAACATGTTATTTACAACACAAATAAACATAGTAATCTTTTCTACGCACAATAGAAATTTAGATATTAAAATATATTTCTAAAACCTATTAACAGGTGTTAGGAGCATAGAAAACTAAAAAAATAAGACACAGAACAGACACATTTTGATAAAGTGCCAAGAGATATCAGAAGTGTCTCCAGGAGGAACCTAATAATTAGCATCCTTGGGGTTGGGGTTGTCAAGGAGGAGGTGTCTGTCACAAGGCCCTTGGTAAGGGCAGGGAAATTCTAGAGAGGAATAAAGCCCAATAGAGGCCAAGGACATTAGTGATAATCTTTATCACCCTCTTAGGTATTAATTCCTTATCAGATAAGTAGTTCGCAAATATTTTCTCCCATTCTGCAGGTTGCCTCTTCACTCTCTTGATTGTTTCCTTTTCTGCTCCAAAGCTTTTTAGTCAGATATAATTCCATTTTTCTATTTTTGCTTTTGTTACCTGTGCTTTTGAGGTTATCTTCATAAAATCTTTACCCAGACCAATATCCTGATTTCCCATATGTTTTCTTCTAGTAACTTCATAGTTTAGGGTCTTACACTTTAGCCTTTAACCCATTTTCAGTTGATTTTTTTATATGATGAAAGATAGGGGTCTAGTTTCATGCTTCTGCATATGGTTATCCAACTGTTTATTACTGATTCAATCTCATTAATGATTAATGATTTAATTACTCTTAATTGTTCTGTTCAGGCTTTCTATTTCTTCTTGGTTCATTCTTGGTACATTGTATGTGTCCAGGAATTTATCTATTTCCACTAGGCTTTCCAATTTGTGGGCATATAGTTGTTCAAAGCAGGTCAAATAATTATTTGTATTTCTTTTTCTTTATTTCAATAGCTTTAGACCTACAAGTGGTTTTGGTTACATGAACGAACTGTGTAGGGGTAAAGTGCGGGCTTTTAGTGTATCCTTCACCCAAATAGTGTACATTGTACCTAATAGGTAATTTTTCATTCCTCACTCCCTCCCACCTCCCCTCTTCTGTGTCTCCCATGTCCATTATACCACTCTCTATGCCTTTGCATACACATGGTTTAGATCTCACTTATAAATGATAATATGCAATATTTCATTATCTGTTCCTAAGCTACTTCATGTAGGATAATGGTCTCCGGTTCCATCCAAGTTGCTACAAAAGACATTATTTCATTTATTTTACGGCTGAGTAGTGTTCCATGTTGTAAACATATACTGCATTTCCTTTATCCAGTTGTCAGTTAATGGGCATTCAGGTTGATTCCATTATCTTTGCAGTTGCGAGTAGTGCTGTGATAAACACACATACGGATAGCTTTTTGATATAATAATGTGTGTTACTTTGGGTAGATACCCAGTAATGAGATTACTGAATTGAATCACAGATCTACTCATAGATATTTCTTAAATCTCCATACCATTTTTCCATAAAGGTGGTACTAATATACATTCCCACCGGCAGTGTGTAAGTATTCTGTTTTTACTATATTTGCACCAGCATCTATTGCTTTTGACTTTTTAATAATGGTTCCTCTGGCTGGGGTAGGATGGTATCTTATTGAGATTTTAATTTTTAATTTCCCTGATGATCAGAGATGTTGAGTATTTTCTCACTTATTTGTTGGCTATTTGTATTTCTGCTTTTGAGAAATGTCTGCTCATTTCACTTGGCCCGTTTTTAGTGGGATTATTTATTTTTCTATTGTTGATTTGTTTGAGTTCCTTGTAGATTCTGGATATTAGTCCTTTGTTAGATGAATAGTTTGCAAATACTTTCTCCTATTTTGTAAGTTGTCTGTGTAATCTATTAATATATACCTAATTAGCATATTAGTCTAATTAGGTCCCATTTATGTATTTCTTTATTTTGTCACATTTGTTTTTTACCTTAGTCATAAATCCTTTGCCTAGGCCAATGTCCAGAAGAGTTTTTCCTAAGTTTTATTCTAGAATTTTTATAGTTTCAAGTGGTAAAGTCTTTAATCTAGCTTGAGTTAATTTTTGTATTTGCTGAGAGAGAAGGATCCAGTTTCATCACTCTACATGTGTCTATCCAATTTTCTCAGCACCATTTATTGAATGTGATGTTCTTTCCCCAGCACATGTTGATCTGCTTTGTCAAAGATCAGTTGGTTTTATGTATTTGGCTTTATTTCTTGGTTCTCTATTCTTTTCCATTGGCCTGTGTGTCTACTTCTAAACCAGTAGCATACTGTTTTAATTACTATAGCTTTAGAGTATAATTTGAAGTCAGATAATGTGCTGCCTCAAGATTCATTCTTTTTTCTTAGGATTGCTTTGGCTAATCAGACTCCTTTTTGGTTCCATATGAATTTTAGAATTGTTTTTTCTAATTCTGTGAAAAATGATATTGGTAGTTTGATAGAAACTATATTGATTGCAGATTGCTATGGACAGTATGATCACTTTCACAATATTGATTCTTCCAATTCATAAACATGGTCTGTGTTTCCATTTGTTTGTGTCATGTATTATTTCTTTCATCAGTATTTTGGAGTTCTCCTTGTAGAGATCTTTTGCCTTCCTGGCTAAGTATATTCCTAGGTATTTTATTCTTCTTGTGACTATCGTAAATGGGATTCAGTTCTTGATTTGATTCTCAGTTTGATTATTACTGGTGTATAGCAGTATTACTGATTTGTATACATTGATTTTGTAACCTGAGACTTTACTTAATTCATTTATCAAATCTAGAAGTCTTTTGGAGGAGACTTTAGGATTTTCTAGGTATAAGATCATGTCCTCAGCAAACAGAGATAGTTTGGCTTCCTCTTTTCCATTTTGAGTGCCTTTTATTTCTTTCTCTTGCCCGATTGCTCTGTCTAGGACTTCAGATTCTTTCCATGGTAACCACTGTAGTGTCTCCTTTTCTGTTTCAGACTGTATTTATTTGGATCTTCTCTCTTTTTTTCTTGGTTAGCCTAGCTAATTGTTTGTTAATTTTTTTTATCTTTTCAAAAGGCAAACCTCATTTTTTTAAATTGCATTTTAGGTTTTGGGGTACATGTGCAGAAGATGCAAGATAGTTGCATAGGTACACACATGGCAGTATGTTTTGCTGCCTCATATTTTAATCCGTTGTAATTTTTCTAGTTTCAATTTTATTTCTTTCTGCTCTTATATTTATTGTTTCTTTCCTTCTACTAATTTTAGGAATAGGTTGTTCTTGCTTTTTTAGTTCTTTGAGATGCATTAGTTGATATCTGAAATCTTTCTAGTTGTATGATATAGGCATTTATTGCTATAAACTATTGCCTTAATACTGCTTTTGCTATTTCCCATAAGTTTTGCTGTGCTGTATTTTTATTTTCATTTGCTTAATTAAATTTTTTAATTTTCTTCTTAATTTCTTAATTGACCTGTTGGTGACTCAGGAGCATGTTGTATAATTTCCATGTATTTGTAAAGCTTCAAAAGTTCTTGTTATTGATTTCTAGTTTTATCCCATTGTGTTCAGAAAAAAAATTAATATGATTTAAATCCTTGTAAATTATTGAGACTTATTTTGTGGCCTAATACGTGGTCTGTCCTAGAGAATGTTCCATGTGCTGATAAAAAGAATGTGTATTTTGCAGCTGTTGAATGCAGTGTTCTGTAAATGTCTATTAGGTCCATTTGGTCTAAAGTACAGTTTAGATCCAATGTTTCTTTTTTATTTCTTTTTTTTTTTTTTTCCTGTCTTAGTTTTATTTATATAAATAGCACAGGAGAACCCCAGCCCCATGCAGATGGCAGCCCAGGGGGTTGCACCAGTCCTTCTGTCCTCACGTTGGCAGACAGAGATATCTACCCTGAAGCTTTTGTAGGAGCCTGTGTACCTTTGGGAGCCTGAGCTGGAACTGAAGCTGGAGCTGCAGCCTGGGCCTTTGTTTGATCCTTGGTCTTGGCCTTGGCCTTTGGCCAGCAGAGCCTGAGCTGCTTGGCAATGCAGGCACGAGCATGCTTCCCGAGCTTGGAGTGGGCAATGTAGGCAAGTCGATTGAGCTTGGGGCTGATACCCTTTGGGAACTTGGACTTAACCTCCTTGGACTTTATGAGGGCCTTGATGGCCTCGGCACGTGCACTCATGGCCTTGGCATTGCTGGCCTGCATCTTCTTTAGGCCCTCCTTGTTGTGCTTCTTGGCAAAGCACATGGTCCTTAGGAACTTGGGGCCCACCCCCTTAAGAGATTCATATCTTTGTGATCGGGGTTTCTTGATACCATTTCTGTGCCATTTTCGGGTCTGATTGTGTGTAGTGTGGTTCTTGGACTTGGCCATATCTGCACCTAAGCCATGGCTCCTGAAGCACCTAGAACCGGAAGAGAGCATCCAACGTTTCTTTATTGATTTTCTGTCTGGATGATCTATTGATGTCCAGTGCTGACCGTGGGATCTTGAAGTCCCCAGCTGTTATTGTATCATAGTCTGGCTCTCCCTTTAGTTCTAATATTTGCTTTATATATCTGGGTGCTCTTGTGTTGGGTGCGTATATATTTACAGTTGTTATGTCTTCTTGCTGAATTGATCTTTTTTCATTATATAATAAACTTCTTTACCTCTTTTTACCATTTTGACTTAAAGTGTGTATTATCTCAGATAAATACAGCTACTCCTGCTCACTTTGGGTTTCTGTTTTTGTTTTTGCTTTTGAAATATCTTTTTCTATTCCTTTATTTTCAGTCCATATGTTTCTTTATAGGTGAAGTGAGTTTCTTGTAGGTAGTATATAATTGGGTCATTTTTTTAAGTCTATTTACCAAGTCTATGCCTTTTAAGAGAAAGATTTAATTTATTTACATTCAAGATTAGTATTGATAAATGAGAGATTACTCCTGTCATTTTGTTAATTATTTTCTGATTGTTTTGTACATCCCTTTTTCTTTCTTCTTCTTTTTTTGTTTATCATTGTGGTTTTCTGGAATTATAAGGGGTTTTTTTTCTCTTTATCCTTTATTTGCTCTATCAGTGAGCTTTATACTTTTGCATGTTTTCATGACAGTGACATAATCTTTGACTTCAAATGTAGTATTCCCTCAAGCATTTCTTGTAAGGCTGATCTAGTGATAATTAATTCCCTCAGGTTTTGCTTGTCTGGGAAATACTTTATTTCTCCCTCATTTCTGAAGGATAACTTTGCTAGGTTTCTTATATCTGCTTCTGCATTCAATATATTGTTATATGTTGATTTGGTTAAAGTATATAAAGAGCATTCAGATTAACAGAAATAAGTATTTGGAAAAGGTAGGAGTATTTTTAATAACATTTTCAAATAATTATGGCTATTCTTCTTTGATACTACACCAGAATTCTACAAGTGATAGTTTCGTAAAAGTTAATTGCAATGATCCAAAATCATACCTTTTGTACTCTGTAACATCAAAATCCATTGGTCTTTCTTGCAATCAAATAGCATGATTTTGTAACATCATACATTGGTCATTTGGAATATATTGGTTCATTGAGTTAATTAATTCTTCCAAATGTGGACACATTTTACTTCAAAATATCAAAAAAAGTGTCAATATTACCCCTGATCTCAGTAAGTGCTGAGAAACTGTCAAACTGACAGACTTGAGTATCTAATTTTATCTTGAAAACCAAATTTTGTTTTGTTTTGTTTTGGCTACAGTAACCAAAACAGCATGGTACTGGTACCAAAACAGAGACATAGACCAATGGAACAGAACAGAGGCCTCAGAAATAATGTCACACATCTACAACCACACATCTACAACCATCTGATCTTTGACAAACCTGACAAAAACAAGCAATGGGAAAAGGATTCCCTATTTAATAAATGACGTTGGGAAAACTGGCTAGCCATGTGCAGAAAGCTGAAATTGGACCCCTTCCTTACACCTTATACTAAAATTAACTGCAGATGAATTAAAGATTTAAACATAAGACCTAAGACCATAAAACCCTGGAAGAAAACCTAGGCAATACCATTTAGGACAGAGGCATAGGCAAGGAGTTCATGACTAAAACACCAAAAGCAATGGCAACAAAAGCCAAAATAGACAAATGGGATCTAATTAAACTTAAGAGCTTCTGCACAGCAAAAGAAACTATTGTTAGAGTGAACTGGCAACTAACAGAATGGGAAAAAGTTGTTGCAATCTACCCATCTGACAAAGGGCTAATATCCAGAATCTACAAAGAACTTAAACAAACTTACAAGAAAAAACAAACAACCCCATCAAAAAGTGGCTGAAGGATATGAACAGACACTTTTCAAAAGGTTATGCAGCTAACAATCATATGAAAAAAATGCTCATCATCACTGGTCATCAGAGAGATGCAAATCAAAACCACATTGAGATACCATCTCACACCAGTTAGAATGGCGATCATTAAAAAATCTGGAGACAACAGATGCTGGAGAGGATGTGGAGAAATAGGAACACTTTTACACTGCTGGTGGGAGTGTAAATTAGTTCAACCATTGTGGAAGACAGTGTGGCGATTCCTCAAGGACCTAGAAATAGAAATTCCATTTGACCCAGCAATCCCATTACTGGGTATATATCCAAAGGATTATAAATCGTTCTACCATAAGGACACATGCACACGAATGTTCATTGCAGCACTGTTTACAATAGCAAAGACCTGGAACCAACCCAAATGCCCATCAATGATAGACTGGACAGGGAAACTGTGGCACATATACACCATGGAATATTATGCAGCCATCAAAAACAATGAGTTCATGTCCTTTGTAGGGATATGGATGAACTTGGAGACCATCATTCTCAGCAAACTGATGCAAGAACAGAAAATGAAATACCGCATGTTCTCACTCATAGGTGGGTGTTGAACAATGAGAACACATGGACACAGGGAGGGGAGCACTACACACTGGGGTCTGTTGGGGGGAACAGGGGAGGGACAGTGGGGAGTGGGGAGTGGGGAGTTGGGGAGAGATAGCATGGGGAGAAATGCCAGATATAGGTGAAGGGGAGGAAGGCAGCAAATCACACTGCCACGTGTGTACCTATGCAACTATCTTGCATATTCTTCACATGTACCCCAAAACCTAAAATGCAATAAAAAAAAAACAATAGCAAGGACTTGGAACCAACCCAAATGCCCATCAATGATAGACTGGACTTTTAAAATGTGGCACATATACACCATGAAATACTATGCAGCCATAAAAAAGGATGAGTTCATGTCCTTTGCAGGGATATGGATGAATCTGGAAACCATCGTTCTCAGCAAACTGACACAAGAACAGAAAACCAAACACCACATGTTCTCATTCATAAGTGGGTGTTGAACAGTGAGAACACATGGACACAGGGAGGGGAGCATCACACACTGGGGCCTGTTGGGGGATGAGGGGGCTAGGGGAGGGATAGAAGGAGGTGGTATTGGGGAGGGATAACATTAAGAAAAATACCTAATGCAGATGACGGGGGGGGTGGATACAGCAAACCACCATGGCACGTGTATACCTATGTAACAATTCTGCACGATCTGCACATATACCCCAGAACTTAAAGTATAATAATTTTTTAAAAAGAAAACCAAAATTTTATGATTGGCAAAGAACTGTCAGTTGTTTTTTTAAAAAAAACGGTAGGCTCCTAACAGGCAAATAACATGTAGCAGGTGGGGGGAACAAACATACAGCAACTTATATTATTATGAAAATAATCTTGACCTTGAGGATCCCCTGAAAGGGTCTTGGGCAACCTAAGAAGTTTAAGGACTTACTTTGAAGCCCATGCTCTTAACTACTTTCAACATTTAAAAGCAGAGAAAGAAAAAACAGCAAAGAATACACTAGCTAGAGAACTTACTATAATACCTATGTGTATCCAACTTCCACCAAATTATAAATTTATTTATCATTTCTATTCTTACTTGAAAACCTTTTCAAGGATGCAGTTTAATCCCTTGATTAAGAAAGTAGAATTACCTTTATTGGGCTTGCAACGTCAGTTGGGCTTATGATATCAGGTACAAGGGCTGAGAGCTTCTCCCAGGATGATTCAATGTGAGCCATTTCCTGAGCAGCTTCTTTCAGAAAAAGAACTTAGCAGACCTAACTTCTTACACAGCTTTTTGTGATTAAGTTAAGATTCTGCAATATCTATCCAAATCCAACTTATACTCTTACAGTCTGAATTGAGTACACTAAACTCCACACCCCCAAGCTTGAGTTACAACACTCTAGTACAGTATTTTATGAGATTCTATAGCTCAAGTTCACTGATTCTAACATGATTGTTCAGTGCTGACTTCCCATAGCATTCTTCCTCCAATGCTCAGTACTGACAAACTACCAAGTTAGATATGTCCTTGTTTTTAACTAAAGTAAGTTATTTTTGCCTTGTTTCATGAAAGGTTTAAGAGGCATGGCATAGTGTTCATGCGTGTAGGTATCCAAGTCAAAAGGACACGAGTCTTAAGTTCAATCTTTCTGAGCCTCCTGATGAGGTTCCTTCTACATCTTATACAGCTATTGTAGAAAAAAGTAAAAGACACCATTTATGGAAATGTTTAATGTACTATTAGACCCACAGTTGACCTTCATTACATGTTATTTGTTTAGGTTTACAGAAGAAGTTTAGATCATTAAATATGAACAAAAAGTTAAGCTTAGAACCAAAGAGATTTTAATCCAGAAAAGACTTTTAAGACAATGGGGGAAGTAGAATACAGATGCAGAAGCCGTATGGTGCAGAGGACATGGCGAGTGCCACCAAGGTCCCATATCAGTAACCTGTAGCCCAGAGGCTGCCTTCAGGGTCAGCCCCTTGAGGAGCAGTTACCACTACAAGCAAAGGAGCAAAGGCAGGGAGAATGTGGTGAAGCCAGAGGGAGCAGTCACAGTCACAGTAGAAGAGGGACAGCCAACAAGGGATGGGAGGATGCAGTCAACCACAGATATCCAGGAAGCGGGAAGCTATGGAAATAAACACGCTGGCCTTCCTGTCTTATCTCCATCCCGTCTCCGCCAGGGCCTCCCATTTACTAGGAGCTAGGAAGAAAGGAAACCCATTGACAATAAAGGTCATTCTCTCAGAGCACAGAGAAGAATGAAGAAGGACAGAAAGTGGACCTGGAGGGGTAAATGAAAAATAAGATACCTCGGTTTAAAAGCAGTCTTTTTTCACCTGGGGGCACAGGTAACAACAAAGACTGCTTTTAAACCGAGATATCTTATTTTCCCTAGCCCCCAGCATGACAGGGTTGTCCCACTCTGATTGACCTGACGATGAGCTGGCTTAAGCAAGCAGCATAAGCATCCTCTTCTCCTCGTGGAAGAGCCTTTCCCAATCTCATCTTCCCGTAGTCCTGATGGCCTCATTCTCCCAGGTCCCCAAAGGCACCAGGTTCTCAGCAGTTTGTTTCCTCAGAAAATTCCTATATTCTGTTGGCAGCCAAATCTAGACTGC